AACTCTGGAGGACATGTGGACACAAGTCGGGTACTTCTTTAGTGTACTTTAACACTGAACATCGCTTAACTCACCATGAATTCATCGGTTTCACTGTACAATAAAAATAAAATTATTTGTTTATATAAAGCACGGTGTTACGACTAAAGTTTATTCATTCATTTTCTTGTCGGCTTTATTAATCCGGGGTCGCCACAGCGGAATGAACCACCAACTTATCCAGCAAGTTTTTACGCAGCGGATGCCCTTCCAGCCGCAACCCATCTCTGGGAAACATCCACACACACATTCACACACACTCAGACAATTTAGCCTACCCAATTCACCTGTACCACATGTGTTTGGACTGTGGGGGAAACCGCAGCACCCGGAGGAAACCCACGCGAAGGCAGGGAGAACATGCAAACTTCACACAGAAACGCCAAATGAGCCGGGGATTCGAACCAGCAACCCAGCGACCTTCTTGCTTTGAGGGGACAGCACTACCTACTGCGCCACTGCCTCACCCACTAAAGTTTATTTATTTATTTATTTTATTTTCTTTGTCCTGCCTTCTTGTTGTTTTTTGTTATCCCATAGGCTCCCATTCGTGATTCGTGCTCTTATTGGCTGCTGGTCTGTATGAAAAGGAGCTTCCGGCAGAGTTTAAGGAGCTCATTTGTACTGCGACGGTTGCTGGGAGTGGAGCTCCCCTCCGGCCGACGACCAACATTCAATCTTGTTTCCATTGTTCATACGTTTAACTTCTTTTGAGAGTTTGAGCTTGTAGGGCTGGCCTGCCTATTTATTTGATTACTTTTGACTATGTTTAAGTTTAGGGAGAAAGGTGAGCTTCCTGTATTTTTCTTTAAATATTTATAGGTAATTAAGTTAATTTACTTTTATAGATTCTTCCGTTTGTTATTTAGGTCTGTGGCCACCCTAAAGAGATGCTCATTTAAAATTACAACTTTTTTCTATAATAAATCAGCTCAGTTACTCTCAACTGAGTGTCCGAGTTTGGTTGTCGACCGAAGGGGATCTTTTGCATTGTTTTTTGTTTTGTTTGGGAAATCAACCGTCCCAACACATTTGTTTTTCCAATTATTATGCCCATGTTGTTTTCTCCGAGACTTGGGGCATAATAATTGGGGGCTCGTCCGGGATCATAATTAATATTATATTCATATTATAAATCTAGAGCGCCATCTTCTGTCAAAAACTAGCCTAGAGCGCCGTCTACTGTTAAAAGGGAACAAAGCGACCACTGATACTCCCTGGTTTGCACGGTACATTGTGGACAGGGCCGGAGCAAGCTGAACTGCCGCTCTAGGCAGAGGAAGATCACGCCGCCCTCAACCCCAATGTGAAAACGAAAGTGACCGGTTATGAAAATGAAGTGAGGTGTCGCAGACCTCTATTCTGCCGCCCTATGCGTGGATATAACTGAGGACGCGCGGGTGCTGAGGGAGGGAGGGAGGTGTCGCCGACGCTGCTCTCTCTGTTCTGCCGCCCTATGCGCGGAAATAACTGAGGACGCGCAGGTGTCACGGACCACTATTCTGTCGCCCTATGCGCGGATATATCTGAGGACACGCAGGTGCTGAGGGAGGTGTCGCCGACGCTGCTCTCTCTGTTCTGCCGCCCTATGCGCGGAAATAACTGAGGATGCGCAGGTGTCACGGACCACTATTCTGTCGCTCTATGCGCGGATATAACTGAGGACACGCGGGTGCTGATGGAGGTGTCGCTGATGCTGACGCTGCCCTCTCTATTCTGTCGTCTATGCGCGAATATATCTGAGGACGTGGGTGGTGAGGGAGATGTCGCGGACATAACTGAGGACCCGGGTGGTAAGAGTGGTGTCGCGGACGCCGCCCTCTCTATACTGCCGCCCTAGGTGGCCGCCTAGGTCGCCTCTATGGACGCGCCGGCCCTGATTGTGGAACTTTTCAGAACGTAAATGTTTTAGTGCACTTGACAGAAAATTTTGAATTGAGACTCTCCCATGATTTTAGCAAGACAAATGAACTGTATTTGCTTTTTGCCATGGATAATTAGCTGTGAATTAAAATAAAAATTGCTGTAAGTTCGAGCCACGGATAGCTTAGTTCATCAACAGTCCTCCACACTATAAAATCCAAATTGACTATAAAGTGAGACCTGACTTCAGCCAGAGTGAGAAAACTTCAAGCTCCATGTCAAATCTGCAGCTCCACGCTTCACGCCTCAGCAAACACAGAGTCAGAGGCAGAGGATTGCATATCTCCTTTTCTCGAAAAGTAAGCTTATCTCAAGTGAAGCACTTCATTTTAAAATGATCACAGTGAGTAGTTCATGAGCCATCAGGCACAGCTTTCAATGTGGCAAAAGGCAACATATCTAACACTCTTACATCACCTTAGTAATTAAAGTGATAGTACACCCATTTACTCATGCTGCACTAATTCCAAACCAGTTTGAGTTTCTTTTCTATTGAACACTAATGAAGATATATACTGACGAATGCCAGCAGGCACACAACGTCATAAGACTTCAATATCAGGTTAGATTTAGGTTGTGATGCTGGGCGACCAAAATTCAATGTTTAGCCAACGTCTAAGGACAATGCCATTTTGATGTCCTGTAATGACGTCAAATGACAATATTAGGTTGATTTTAGGTTGTGCTAAAAGTGACTAAAATTTAACATCTGATAGACGTCATAGTGGTAACATCCACGCAACGTCAAGCTGTAACATCATTAGATGTTGATATTTGGTTGTTTTTAGGTTGCGTTGGAAAGTGATTATAATACAACTTCTGATAGACGTCATAATGGTAACGTCCACAGAATCGGAATCTGTAACATAATTAGATGTTGATATTGGGTTGTTTTTAGGTTGCGTTGGAAAGTGACCAATATTTAACATCTGATAGACATGATAGTGGTAACGCCCACGCAATGTCAAGCTGTAACATTATTAGATGTTGATATTTGGTTGTTTTTAGGTTGCGTTGGAAAGTGATTATAATACATCTGATAGACATCATAGTGGTAACGTCCACGCAACGTCAAGCTATAACATCATTAGATGTTGATGTTTGGTTGTTTTTAGGTTGTGTTGGAAAGTGATTATAGTACAACATCTGATAGACGTCATAATGGTAACGTCCACAGAATCGGAAGCTGTAACATCATTTGATGTTCATATTTGGTTGTTTTTAGGTTGCGTTGGAAAGTGGCCAATATTTAACATCTGATAGACGTCATAGTGGTAACGTCCACGCAACGTCAAGCTGTATCATTAGATGTTGATATTTGGTTGTTTGTAGATTGCGTTGGAAAGTGACCAATATTTAACATCTGATAGACGTCATAGTGGTAACTTCCACGCAATTTCAAGCTATAACATCATTAGATGTTGATATTTGGTTGTTTTTAGGTTGCGTTGGAAAGTGATTATAGTACAACATCTGATAGATGTCATAGTGGTAACGTCCACACAACGTCAAGCTGTAACATCATTAGACGTTGATATTTAGTTGTTTTTAGGTTGCGTTGGAAAGTGATTATAGTACAACATCTGATAGACGTCATAGTGGTAACGTCCACACAACGTCAAGCTGTAACATCATTAGACGTTGATATTTAGTTGTTTTTAGGTTGCGTTGGAAAGTGATTATAGTACAACATCTGATAGACGTCATAGTGGTAACGTCCACACAACGTCAAGCTGTAACATCATTAGACGTTGATATTTGGTTGTTTTTAGGTTGTGTTGGAAAGTGATTATAGTACAACATCTGATAGACGTCATAGTTGTAACGTCCACAGAATCTGAAGCTGTAACATCATTAGATGTTGATATTTGGTTGTTTTTAGGTTGTGTTGGAAAGTGACCAAAATTTAACATCTGATAGACGTCATAGTGGTAACATCCACACAACATCAAGCTGTAACATTATTAGATGTTGTTATTTGGTTGTTTTCAGGTTGTGTTGGAAAGTAACTAAAAACATTTGTAAAACATATGCTGCAATAGTTGGAGGTTCATTCCACTGTGGTGACCCCTGAAAAATAAGACACTAAGCTGAAGTAAAATAAATAAACAATGAATATTTATGATAGGTACATTTACAACATTTCTTCATGGAACATTTCTTTAAGCATACCACTAATCTTTGGCGTAAAGTAAAATTATATCATTTGACAATGCATACAGTTCATTTTTTTGGTGTTGTCAAAAATATACCCATGCAAAATAAATAACACTGGGACTTGTGATCATCCAGCTGCACTTGCGCATTAAATATATTTGTTTACTGCTACACCGAAAGTTTCCCTGATCAATTCTTTTAATGGTTTATAAACAATTAACCCCATTAAACCCTGTTTTTTTGTGTGTGTTTGTTTGTTTGTTTACAGAATCCAAAATGCCTATGGCTTAACACTCTCAACAACACGCACAGCAGATAATCACTTTGACCCAATTCTTTTTCCATTGTCGCATGTAATGAAGCAACCCATATTTGAAATAACCAAGCAATTATGTGGTATTGGATCCTGTGTAACTGCTTTATTCATGTACTTGATCTTAAACGGGACACTTTTTACATGATGTAAAATAAGTGTCTGATGTACCTAGAGTGTGTGTGTGTGTGAAGTTTCAGCTTAAAATACCACACAAATAATGCTTTAAAACTGCCCCTGTTAGGCTTTGATCCTAATTGTGGCATACAATATTGGTGACTGTCGCTTTAAATTCAAATAAGGTTGTGCGATTTTGAAAAGAGGGCGGAGCTACAAATGCCTATGCATCAATATAGTGGCAGATTCAAAAACAAGATTAACATCATATGCTAATGAGGGAGAGATGGTCACGAGTGGGCGAGGCTTTCCCCTCTGATGACATCATACAAAAGGAAAATGCCAATCAAAGTGTTTCTGCAGACTGTATTAATCAAGTCTGTTTATATATAATAATATTAATAATTTTTTACCATTATAAGCTTGTTATATTCACACACATTTGACACACAACTGTGTTTAAACTCATTCAACATTTGATTTTTGCATAATAAGCACCCTTTAAGTCTCTGTTTACTCCATAACACTTGTTTACGCATCAGTTAACTTCTTCCATCCCTTCACTTAAATTCTGCAAGCAACATTTCTTTAGTGCTGCGTCATAATTCCGTGACCCCATTCAAGGTCTCGTGAGAAATGCAGAAATGAATCCTTTGATTTAAATCTTCCTGGGAAGCTTCTTTCAATTATTAAGCAAGGACAAAATGGTCACTGAGTAATGCTTATTGATGAGTGCCTTAATCACAATCATTTATTATCATAAAATAGATCTGGAGTTTTGAAGATGCATACTCAGTCAGCGTTTGTGTGCTACTCAAACGAATCAGATTTGGAGGTGAAATGTGCGTTTGCATGGTTTGGATTGAATGAGTACACCATTAGTCACTTATTTATTGCTTTTATTTATTTGCATGTTTATTTTTACAGAGGAAGTATCCCATGCACTACAAGATAGCCCTCATCATAAACTACTTTGGTCACTGTGTGTCTGTTGGAGCCCTCATTATCGCCTTCATTCTCTTTCTGTGCTTGAGGTAAGTGTGTGTCTGTGATTTTACATTGCTAATGCCTCGCACTAAGGCTTTGTTCATATTTTAAGAAATTAAATATGTGTCCCCGGATTGCAAAACCTGCAATAAGTGTCATGTTTCATTCGAAGCTGAGATTTATACTTGACCTGAAATATGAATGTATGGTTTGTTATTATTTGGACACATTTGGACAATGTTTGCTTGCTATATAAGAGAGAATAATAATAATTGAATGAATGAATAAAGGGTGTCACAGTGGCGCAGTAGGTAGCCAATCGCCTCACAGCAAAAAGGTCGCTGGTTCGAGCCTCGGTTGGGTCAGTTGGAATTTCTGTGTGAAGTTTGCATGTTCTCCCTGTGTTGGCGTGGGTTTCCTCCGGGTGCACCGGTTTCCGAAAAGAAAAAGAATGAATGAATGAATAACGAATGAAATGAAAATCAAATTGAAATAAATTAATAAATAAAATTCATTTAAAAAATCAAATCAATAAAAATAAAGAAATAAAATTGAAATTGAATTGAAAATATATCAATAAAAATAAAGAAATAAAATTGAAATTGAATTGAAAATAAATAAATAAAAATAAACAAATAAAATTGAAACTGAACTGAAAATAAATAAATAAATAAAAATAAATAAAATTTAAACTGAATAGAAAATAAATAAATAAAAAAAGAAATTAATTTAAATAAATAACTAAATAAATAAATAAAATTAAATAAATAATTGAAATTGAAAATAAAGAAAGAAAGAAAGAAAGAAACTAAAAATAAACTACTTAAATATAATATAAAATAAATTATATTTAATACATAAATTATATTAAATAAATAAATAACAAATACAAATTAAAAATAAATTAATTTAAATAAATAGAAGAAATAAAAGAAATTGAATTGAACATAATGAATAAATTAATTAAAACTAAAATTACAAACTAAAATAAACTACATAAAATTAATTAAAACTGATTTGAAAATAAATAAATCACAAGTAAAAAATGAAAAACATATGAATTTAAATAATTAATCAAATAAATAAAAATAAATAAATAAAATTAAAACTGAATTAAAATAAAGAAATAAAAAATAAACAAATTTAAATAAACAACTAAATAAATAAAAATAAATAAATAAATAATTGAAATTGAAAATAAATAATAAATAAAAAAATAAAAAAATAAATAAATAAACGAAAAAGAAACTCATTTAAATAAATAAATAAAATTAAAACTCAACTGAAAATGTTTTAGTGTATTTGTTTGCTGTCGAACTCTTTCATACTAATTGATGGTCTTCGTAATACACAGAAATCCCTGTATGTGTGCGCGCTTGTGTGTATGTGTTCCAAGTATTAATAGCATCCAATAATGAGTGAGTAGTGAATGCAGATCTGTGTGATTAAAAGTCTGAGGAGGGTGAACAAGGGGAGGCGGGAGGTGGAGATCCTGGGAGCATGACAATTATTTATGAAGTTAATGAATAACAAAACGTTGTTATGAGTCATTATGAATGCATCGCCATTAATGCAACACTAGGAAACACCAAAGAGAGCTGCTCTTTTCTTTTTCCCTGCCATCTGCCATTGGGTCAAACACACAATCGTGCATCAGAAATGATCATCTCAAACAAGTCAATCAGGGGAAATCAATCTGAATATTTTTTGACTAAATAATCACGACTTTACAGATTTATTTCTTTAAAAGCATGCTCAGAATATTGAATCTTTTGGAAATGAATGTTGCTGGGGTTTCATTTTCATGCAAATGTACTTCCACAATCAGCTCTTGCACTGCTAAAACTGTGTAAGTGTAATTACTGAAATGATTGTCTTATTTATTTATTTATTTTTCTCTTTATCGTTTGAATTCTAGGAGCATCCGATGCCTTCGCAACATAATCCACTGGAACTTAATTACGACTTTCATTCTGAGGAATGTGATGTGGTTTTTGCTTCAGCTGGTCGACCAAAACATTTATGAGACGAATGAGGTATGAAGCACTTTTATGCATATTTATCAGCTTATTAGCATGTAAGCAAATCAGCAAGAGATTTTCATTGGTTATAGGTTTCCATCCAACCATTTTTTATGCATATTAAATAAAATGGAATGGAAATGCCAAGATGCACATAGGTAAAATGTATGCACCCTATTGATTCGCTAATGTGGTTTTCCCATTTGCATACATGTTCATTTTATTTTGCATAACAGTGGATGTTCTGTGGAAAAATTTTAAAATTTTATTGCTTAAGGGGGCTAAATATAATGAGCTTAAAATGGTTTTAAAAAATTAAGAACTGCTTTTATTCTAGCTGAAATCAAACAAATAAGACTTTCTCCAGAAGAAAAAATATTATAGGAAATACTGTGAAAAATTTCTGAATCTGTTCAACATCATTTGGGAAATATTTAAAAGAGAAAAAGGAATCAAAGTTAGGCTTCAGGCTCTAGTCTGCAGCCTTAGTGCTTGTTAGGCATTTTACACAGCAATAAAGCAGTACAAATATATTTAAGATATATTTTAAATAGTGAGAACTGATGTTTACTATAGTTTAGCCAGAGCTGCTAAAATATCAATTCAGATTTTTTATAATCTGCAGATTATATTAACATTATAATATAAAATTTCTTACTTGAATCTATATCGTCAACACAATCTCATGGCAATTCGTAACCTTTTAATTCAGTGGTTAATTCATATAGTGATCTCAATGATGGTTGGGTTTAGGGGTGGGGTTTGGTGCCACGCCTCCTTTTTAAAACCGTACATTTTCGAATTTATGAATTCAAACAGATTACGATCTCATGGCAATTCGTAACTTTTTAATTTAGTAGTTATATGTATAGAGATCTCATTCATACAATTTAGTACGATTTGCTCATTCTCCAATGATGGCTGGGTTTAGGGGTGGGGTTTGGTGCCACGCCTCCTTTTTAAAACTGTACATTTTTGAATTAAAGAATTCATACAGATTACGATCTTATGGCAATTTGTAACGTTTTAATTCAGTGGTTAATTCATATAGTGATCTCAATGATGGTTGGGTTTAGGGGTGGGGTTTGGTGCCACGCCTCCTTTTTAAAACCGTACATTTTCGAATTTATAAATTCAAACAGATTACGATCTCATGGCAATTCGTAACTTTTTAATTTAGTAGTTATATGTATAGAGATCTCATTCATACAATTTAGTACGATTTGCTCATTCTCCAATGATGGCTGGGTTTAGGGGTGGGGTTTGGTGCCACGCCTCCTTTTTAAAACTGTACATTTTTTAATTAAAGAATTCATACAGATTACGATCTTATGGCAATTTGTAACGTTTTAATTAAGTGGTTAATTCGTGTAGTGATCTCATTTATACAAATTAGTATGATTTGCTCATCCCCCAAAGACAGTTGGGTTTGGGGGGGTTTGGTGCCACGCCGCTTTTAAAAAGTACATTTTAGAATTTATGAATTCATACAGATAACGATCTCACGGCAATTCGTAACCTTTTAATTTATTGGTTAATTCGTATAGAAATCTCATTCGTACAATTTAGTACGATTTGCTCATCCCCCAGTGACACTTCCGGTTTTTAGTTTTCATGTTGATATAGCTTTAAGAATGTTGCATATTGGTATGCATTTACTGTATAAGGTTGGCTTCATCCGCCTGCTCTCTTCAGCTGGCACTGCGAAGATGGCAGATGATTTGAGCAAAGTTCCTGACGTGCACATCGATCCTAAGGGCGCTTTTAAATACATACAAGTGAACGTAAAATTTAAAGGTGGAAATGGTCATAAACTGATAGTCAGAGGAACTAAAACTGCCGAATATAACAGTGAGTGCGCACGCTTTCAAGTGCAGTAACGTTAGCTCAATGGTGCAGTAAGTGAGTGATAAAGCTCTGTAGTATTTATGAATCAGCTGGTAACCTCCATTCTGATCCTCGCTGTTTATGGGCATCCAGGGTACAATCTATTTTAACAACGTAACTTGTCAATATGAAAACGTAGGCATGTAATTGACAGGTGTCACACTGTAGTAATATATTAAGCGTTTTTGAATTGTATTGTATTATACTGTATATATTATACTATTTTTCCTCTTTTCGGTAATGAATGTTTCATCGTAGAGCACTGGTGAACTGATAAACCATAATTAATTTTGTAGCTAGTATGCTTATATTAAACCTATATTGTAAACACGATCTCATGGCAATTCGTAACCTTTTAATTTAGTGGTTAAGTCGTATAGAGATGTCATTCGTACAATTTAGTACGATTTGCTCATCCCCCAATGACATTTTCGAATAAATAAAAATGAATTTATAATAGTAATATATTTATTTAAGTAGCCAAATGTGTTTAAAGCAACCCAGGCTCATTGTGGAGACGTAGTCCCGCGGACAGTTTCTGGAGACCCCTCGGGAGGTATGTGTTTGTGCAGTTTTTGTTTTCGCGAATTCGCGAAAGGCCGCTGTGCGCGCTTTTTCGCGTCTCGAACACCTCTTAAGAGTGCGCGCCATTCGCGCCCGCACTGTTCTCGCATGAAAAGCCGCCGGAGGCCGCTGTCAATCGACTGTCTGTCCGACTGACTGACTAAATGACTGAACGATCAACTGGGCAGCCGGCGAATCGGCCGACCCAGCCACCCTCCTCCTCCTCCTTCCCTAAACACAAGCGACGATTTACAAAAGCCGTCCAGAAATAAAAAAAAAAAACAAAAGCCCTCGTCCTATTTGGATTGGTTTTCGGATTTCACCGCATTCTTGCCTCGTCATGAACTCGTTCGCTTTTATTTTTTGGATTCTGTTTTTCTCCTTACCTGATTTCTGGAACCGATCTTCCCCAGACTCGAACCCAGTCATCGCCGCGGCTGGCTCCTCCTTCTCCGGGCCTCCGTTCCGCCTACGTAACACTACGAGCTAAGCGGACAAACTAGTTGCGGCGGGAAAACCCTCCACACGGAGGTGAGCCGTCAGCCGGCAAGCGCGAAGAAGAGGAGCGGCCATAGCCGTGCCATAGTGTTCACTCGAAAAAACTAAATGCGACCATACGTACCTCCGGCCATGTAAATCGCGGTCTCCAGAAACGTCCGTGGGGCTACGTTTTCAGAATGAGCTTGGGTTGGTTTAAAGACTTGGTCAAACAAAAATGACATCTTTAATCATTTACTCATGTTCATGTCATCCCAGACGTACAATCATATTACTAATAATACATATCATCATTATTTATACGCATTATTTAAGGAGCCAAATTTGATTAAAGACGTAGTCACACTAAAATGACAAATATTTAATCGGTTGCTCATTTTCATGCCATCCCAGGCGTACAATAAACTGTTCTCTTTACTCACACGAATATAAATTAGAATTTAATTTAATGGGAAAATCCGACAAAAGACGAACTCTCTCATCCATTACTCCAGTAAAGAAACCATCTATTGTTGCTTTCTTTTCTGCGGTGATGTAAGAAGCATGATTCCCCTTGAATATCTCTAATAAAAGAATCATTTATTATGTGGTAAAGCAGGAAAGGCTGTCAGCGATGTTATATTTAGTTTTAGCATGACGTTTTAAAAAGGTTAGCAGAGTTGTAGAGCATCCAGATCAGCTCACTTTAAAACCCCCCTTTTTTCTCTTTGCACAGCCTTGGTGTCGTCTTATAACCACCATCTATAATTACTTTGTGGTGACCAATTTTTTCTGGATGTTTGTGGAGGGCTGCTATCTTCACACGGCTATTGTGATGACATATTCTACAGACAAGCTTCGGAAATGGGTCTTCCTCTTCATTGGATGGTGTAAGTTGATTTCTCTGCACAGCTGTAATTATTTTATTTTGTGAGGCATCATCATCTACACTTTCCATTAGTTGTGAAATGGAAAGCTGACTTGTAATCTGGGTGGCACGGTGGCTTAGGGGTTAACACTGTGGCCTCTCAGCAAGAAGGTCGCTGGTTGAACTGCAAAGCGACAGTACTGTTTAAGATTTTAGGCACTTGTGTGAAAAATGCTGTAAAATGAAGATGCTTTTAAAAATGATGCAATGATATCTCAGCACTTCCTTTGACCCGCTGTTAATGTAAACCTCATCTTTAATAGGAAGACAATAGTAGGATTAAATCAGAAAATGAACGATGCCTCTGTAAGTACAAACAGTGTGATGTATGTTAAGGAGGAATTTCCACCTTAAGTGTTGATAAAGCAGAGCCAGCAGAAAATTGCTATTGAAGGAAAGCCACATTGAGCCCACAGGTGGAGCACTGGAAACCAATTGTGCACTTTGCGTTTTCTGCTCAAATTGCTTCCACTTGAAGGGAAAAGAACCTTCTGGAAGCTTTGCAGAAAACTGTTGATGAAAGACCAAAACTAGTCAAAGCATCTCTTTTGAAAAGCCAAACCTTGACTTTAAAATCTGTGTTTAGAAAGAGGATAACCCTTCTTAATAAAATAATAATAATAATAATAATAATAATAATAATAATAATAATAATAATAAAGTACAGAAAATAAAAAGAAAACAAAAGATAATAAAACATTACATAAAAGAAAAGAAAATCTATAAAAAAATAAAATAAAAATCCATAAAAACAAAATACATTTAAAAATAAATAAAATAATAAAATACATAAATAAATACATAACTAAATTGATAAAAATAAAATAAATACATATACAATTAATAGCATCAAATAAAGAGGATAACCCTTTTCTCTAAAATTAAATTAAATTAAATGCATAAACAATAAATACAATAACAAATATATGCATAAAATAAACTAAACTGAATTAAACTAAACAAAAAAATACATAAATAAATGCTTGAAAAAACTGACTTGACTTAATACTACTAAAAATCTAAAAGTAAATAAAATTTTAAAAAGTTGAAACTATAAATTCAATTATTGTAAGTTTGAACAGTAAACCATTACTTTAATGTATAAGTAATTAAGTGATTTAATTACGGTATTACTTTTAAGACTATAACTTAATCAAGATTTCCCCAACAAAAATTCACACAATAAACTAAATTAAACTGAACTAAGCTAAACTAAATAAAATCATAATTAAAAGAAACACATAAAAAAATACATAAACACATAAAGAAAAGCATCTAAATAAATGCATCTAAGTGTATCCATCTAAATATCTGCATCTAAATATATACATCTATATAAAGTGATATAAATAAATGTGTATAAATAAATAAATAAATCTAAAAAAAACAATATAAATAAATGCATCTAAATAAATTAATATAAATAAATACATAAAAATAAAAAATGCATCTACATAAATAATATAAATAAATGCATCTAAATAAATTTATATAAATATATGCATCTAGATAAATTAATATAAATAAATGCATATAAATAAATAAATGCAAATAAATAAATAAATAAATAAATGCATATAAATATATCCATCTAAATATATGGATCTGAATATATGCATCTAAATAAATGAATATAAATAAATGCATATAAATAAATAAATAAATAAATGCATAAAAATAAATGCATCTTAATAAATAAATATAAATAAATGCATATAAATAAATAAATAACCAAATTAAACAAATAAACAAATAAAACAATTAATAAGTAAATAAATAAATAAATAAATAAACATCATGGAATCATAAATTAGCAATTAAAAATATATTACAATAATCAAAACAACACAAAATC